GGAACAAAGAAACAGAGAAAAGTATCTATTTTCGCTACAATGGGTAGGCAAGTTCATGTATAAAAAAGTTTACACAAACTAAGCGCAAACAAAGGTTGGCGTAAGGTGTTTCCTTCAGGTGACCGACAGTATGCAGGTTGCTGAATTTTGCTTGTTGTTGTTTGTGTTGCACAGTGGAACTAGAAGATGGTATGCTTATGCCTTTGAGCTTGTTTGTATGAACCTGTTTGTTTCGGGCTGCATCAGGTCCAGACTTTACACACAGCCCAGCTCAATGTCCTGCATGAAGTGGATTATCCGCATCCAAATGAATGCTTTGCCTTGCAGCAGTCATGGCTAATTTGAGTTTATTGCCTTTCAAGCCTTGTGTGTAAATGCCTGGACCCCACCTGTTTTGGTGCAAGTAATATCCCAGCCTAATGAGGCTCTCATCACACCAATTGTCTGTTTTTAGCTTAAGTTACCTCCAAACCTACAAACCCTGGTTCATAAAGAGGACTGTGAAACACAAAACTAGTAACAGCAGTCTGCAGCTAGGAGCTGAGTTAGAACTTGTCTGAGGCTAACAGACAACTGGTTTGAATCAAATTTGAGTGTCTTGTTTGGCAGCAAAGCCCAGATCTTACAGATAGACAAGCCTGTTGTCCCAGGTTAAATGTCATAGCAAGGAAGTTTGGCACCCTGGGCAAGCCCACAGTGGCAGCCTGCCCTCACCCCACGCATAGATCTTGTGCGGGGGTGCACACAGTGGCGGGAGCTGCACCCTCTTCTTCATGCCCCCCTCCCCCAGATGAGCCACTCATGGCTCTGACCTGCACCCCTCTCTGGCTGGGCAGTGCCTGCCCCAGTCCCAGCCCTGATCCTTCCTCACTGGGGAGCCTCAATCTGCCCTCCCATGCCCCTTCCATCCCCCTGCCCCTTCCCTCCCACAACAGATTCACTAGCTTTCCAAGCTGGACAGTGGACAGTGCTCTCCAAGCTGCCAGGATGACTGCGTGCATGCACGCAGCACTTATCAGCCACATCAGTCAAAATGTTTTGAAATATTTATAACAAAATATCCACCCACAACTTGCTTGTTGGCACCCCTTTGCTTCAGCACCCAGGGTGGTCGCCTCACTTCCCCCCACTCCTTCCTACAGTACTGCCCAAGGTAAGTATGTCTAAATTAACACTTTGCCTCAGAAGAATCAGTGCCATTTAAGCCTCATGTATTAGAACTGTACCACATCTATTTTGATGCAAGTCATGTCCTGGGCTAATGGGTGCCACATTAAACCTGTTGTCTGTTTTCAGTCTTATTTCACAGGTAAGGTAACTGAGAACTTGGAAGGAGGTCACTTTGGGCAGATCTGGCCTCAGATGTCAGAGTCAAGACCCTTCCGCTTGACCAAAGAGCCTTTCAGAAGGACCAGAGCAACCCAAGTGGTTCTGGTATCTGCACTAACACTAGGGTGGTTCTGCATCATCCCTTACAGCTAGATAGAATATAAAGATTCATGGTTATACTTCTATAGAAAGCAACCTGGGATTAATCCATAAAAAGGTTTAGGTGCCATTGGCATTCACAATAGCCCCAAATGATCATCTAAAAGTGGACCTTGCAGCAACTACAAAATATATTTCTTCCTTTTTTTCCTCCATCTTTTAAATAGTCCTGACACTCACCTGAGAGGTGGTAGACCTGTTTTAAAATCTTTGCTCTGTCTCATTTAAGGTAAGAACTTTTACATGGGTTTTCCCATATCCTAATCTAACCACCAGGTTACTGGATATTGAAGGTTTAAAAAAGTTCTCTTCTGCTGAAGCTGTTACACTTAGTATAATAATTAAATATTTCTTGGTCCAGGGCGAGAGAGAGAGAGAGGCTAAGCAAAAGATTAACCAACATATTCTAGGATGTAGGAAACTCAGCTTCAGACCCAGCTGTAATAAACCTGCAATAACCTGTTGTTTAGGGAATGTATCAGAAACATGGGGAATCTAGGTTGAAGTTCAGAGGTGGGGATTTTAAAACAGCCTCTTAACTCTCAGGTGAATGACCTAAACACTTGTGTAGCACCAAAATCTTTTTCATTTGGTTTATTTTTCTCAAGAGATAAGGCTCACCAGTGTTAGGTTGGTGATAATAGGAAAAGACAGTTCAATGCTCAGATTGCTGGTTTCTGTTAAACTTGTTCCTAGGTGCCTAAGTCTCCCAATCCTTACCGGTGTGGCTAAGAATTAATCACTGCAGTGTCAAAGACCATTTGTAAATTTAGTTCCTGATTGTTTAGCACAAGCAGTAGAATGTAACATCTAGGAATCCTAGATTTATTTTTCCTAGATGATCTGAAAAGATGCACGGTTACGTTTAGCTATTTGTGGAGTCAGAAATATAAACCCAGAATCCTAATGCTCAGCATTCCACTGCTGTGTCACACGTACCTGTAAAACCCGCTAACAACCTTGACCTGGTGGGAGCTGCCCTATGTTTCAAATAAGAGCATATCTCATTTCTCCCACCCCAATTATTTTTAAACTTGATTTGAGAGAGATGCTTGTGCTATGGATCAGAGATTACATGTTCTCAAATGAACAATTTGAGTGTGAAAAACTGACTGGATTTATAAGTTAGTATAAAAACTCTCAGCTAATTGCTGGAATGATTTTATATTGTAAAACACTGGATTTAAAAGCATATGTTGATATTGTGGTTACATTCATTTTACTGTTTAGTTTTTATTATTTGTATTTGGTTAAGTGAAGCTGTTCTTTAAAGTATAGGGTAAGGCAGTAGTTCTTGCAGATAGAAAGCAACGGGTAGGAGGTTTTGCCAACATATGCAGAAGAGTCTGTATAAACTCCAGAAAGCTCAACAACTTGATCTCAAATACTTGTCTTTCCATAAAGCAACAATCAATTTTGATAGATGTACCATTAACATAATTGGTGGATCGGATGCCTCATGGTATTGCTAATGAGCTATATGGTCTTTCACTTGTAGATCACCACTTGAATCCTGCCCAGTGCAGCAGGAATTGAACATTATTGAACATCGCTTCTCGGCCTCTTGAAGGCTAAGATCAAGTATAGTTTGTCAGCCCCTTTATGAAATTACTTTGGTGCCTGCCATTTCCACACCCATAAATTTGTGGTATCTCCTGCTCTTGAAATTTTATCATGAGTTTAGTGTTCTGTTTCTCTTACAGCCCTAGTTCTTGGAGGCCAGCAACTATGTGAAAGTTATTTAATTGGGGCAGGGGGGGAGTAAATTCCAGTTTTCAAGGTTACAAAAAGAAATGTGACAATGATCAGAGTGTACTCTCAAAGTCAAAGGTCTACAGTAATAAAACAGACAGACTGCAATTATTTATTTAAATTGTAACAATCTAATTATATTGGGAGTGTAATGGTCATATCTATACTGGTGTAAAAAGTAAACTTTCTTCAAAGGACTTTGATTCCCTGCAGCATCTTTTTAAATGTTACTATTTTGTCACTTGTCAATAACAACTCTGGGAACAGCATCAAAATTCCTGAGATAGGGCTGTAAATTGCACAGATGTAGGGAGACCACTAGGTGGTGCTCCTTTTGCCATTTATTCAGCCTCTTGTTATGGAAAAGACTAGTGAATCTTAATGGACAGTTGCATTTCTGCTATTTAAACTTGTAGCTAACAAATAGTAAATGTCTAATGTGTTTCTATACGAAGATATGTCAAGAATAACCACAAGATACTGTGCATTGGTTATATTTACTTTGCAGATAGATTAATTGATTTAAAATAGATGTACACTGCATAATCCAGAACAATCTACATACACCTGAGCTAGTTAACTTAGAACCAGCCAACTGTAAATGAGCCAGCTCAGGCTTTGGAAATAGCCTGAAATTCCAGACAGGTTAATTTATACTGCTGAGAAGCCTAGGTTGTTTCCAGTATACATGCTAGCTAGTTTAGTTATGTAGGGTGCAGCATGTACACAACCTCAGGCAAGATATTAATTGGCCATGGCTTCATGTGATACTTGAACCAAATATGAATAGAAGTTCAAATAAGGCTGAACTGCCATTTTCCAAATGGGTTATAATTCTGCGTGCTTTGGCACTTCATAATTCTATATGGTAGTAAGAAGTGCAAAATATCATGCAGAAATCATAGAATCATAGAAAAGTAGGATTAGAAGGGACCTCAGGGGGTCATCTAGTCCAACCTGCTGCCCAAAGCAGGACCATCCCCAACTAGATCATCCCAGCCAAATCTTGT